CCCATGCCTCTATATCCTCTTCGCTGGCTTATAGCTGTTTGTGCTTCAAGACCCAGCTTGGGCATCAGTGACTCTAGGGAACTTTCCCTGACCACATCCCTTTTCCCAGCCCCGGCTGAAGCCCTGCCTGTGTGCTGTCACAGCAACTTGGACTTACTCCTCCAAACACTCTCCAAACTCTATTATATTTACCTGTCTGCCTCTCCCATTGGACTGCAAGGACCTTGGGGGAAAGGCATCACCCCTGAACCATCAGGCCCAGCACCAGGTATGGCAGGTACTCCATACGCACTGCATGACTAGCAGGAAGCTGCAAGTGGGTCCACTGCCCATAGGATGGTAGAAATAGCTGTGCGACTTCTTAACTAACAGAACACTTCTAAACTGAAGTATGCACTCTCTAATAATCCCGCAGCTGGGATGGGATTGAAAGTGGCCCCTATTTTTCCAGTCCATGGCACACGCACACATGACACCAGAGTCCTCATTGAGAACCTGAGGCTGGCCGCCCTGAGCTCCACGTCCACCTTGTTTCTTCCCCACTGTTCACATGTGTATTTCCCCTGCTGTCCACGCCTGAATTCCCTCTTCCTCGTGGAAATCCCCCCACTCCTGATTCCAATTTCCCAGCTTCTTTTGGAGGTGACACCGGCCACTTCTGTCTGCCTGGTACCTGCGTCCAGTCACCTTTACGGGCCTTGATGGTCCTCTAGGAAACCACCCCTTGTCCAGCTTCAGGGCATATGTTTTTGATGGCAATGGCTTCACTTACGGGCCCCAGGGTTAAATATTAAGACTCAGACCTGACAAGAGTCTTCCATCTCTCCGGCCACGAGAAGGCTCTGGGGATAGACAAATGACCTGAGTCCGTCCTAAAAGACAGCATCTTGGGACTGAAGTGGAACTGTTAGAGAAGAGAAATTCCCTTTCCACTGGGATGGGGGTAAGCAAATCTAACACGGACCAGAGGGCACCATGTGGAAACAGTCCAAGGGCCTGCCTAAGAGAAAAGACCTTACAGAGAGCAGATCCCAGAGACAGAGAGAGAACACAGCGACACACAAAACAAGCCAAGGCCTGTTGTCCTGGTTCCATCTTCCAAATCCAACTGGGCCTAATGCTCCTGAGCTTTTCAATTCCATGAGTTAAACTTTTTTTTTTCCTTCTTGTGCTTAAGGCAGTTTGAAGTCGACTTTTGTCAACTGCGACAGAAGTGGTTCTGACCAACACAGTGGACGAGAATATTGCACACTGCTCAGCCCACAGTAGGCATTCAACAAACGTTACTTCCTTCTCCCTTCTCTGGTCAAAGAAAGCAGGTGAATCTAACTGGAAGGCGTTGGCACAATGAGCCCACTAATCCCAACTCCATGTGACTTAGCTGGATGTCAGTCATGTTCAGCCTTCACAATACACAGATGGGAGACATACATCTTAGTGGTGAAATAAGGTTATGGGATTCTAGAGTGAAGATGTCCTGTGTTCAAAACCAGGGCCCACCACTTACTGCAGGGCTCTGGGCAAGTCATTTGACCTCCATAAGTTCAGGCCTGAGCTAACATCCATGCCAATCCTCCTCGTTTTTGCTGAGGAAGACTGGCCCTGAGCTAACATCTATTGCCAATCCTCCTCCTTGTTTTTTTCCCTTTTTTTCCCCAAAGCCCCAGTAGATAGTTGTATGTCATAATTGCACATCCTTCTAGTTGCTGTATGTGGGAAGCAGCCTCAGCACGGCCGGACAAGCGGTGCGTTGGTGCGCACCCAGGATCCAAACCCGGGCCGCCAGTAGCGGAGCACGTGCACTTAACCGCTAAGCCACGGGGCCGGCCCCTGTCCCTCACTTTTAAAATGGGCATAGTAATAGTACCTACCATACAGATCTGTTTTAAGAATCATATCTGATGGTGCCACCCAAGCACCTGGCAAAGTGACTGGTACGAAGAAAGGACTCGGTGAACTTCAGCAAGCACTAACATCATCGTACCATGGGACGCCAGTGGAGACACAGAATTCAGAGACCTCAGGTTTCATTTTCTGCTATTTCATGAACCCACTAAGCTGCAGCGAAAACAACTGTAAGTGAACACACTCAGAAATCAGAACAATAGCTGCGAAGGGTCAGTCCTTGGCTGTAGAAACTGCCACCACAGCAAGCTGGTTTGAACCCCCGGGTGCCAGGCCTGCCACCTGAGGAAACGATCCAGAAGGTTTTGATCTGCCTCAGTGCTCCACTTATGTCAAGTCTGTTTGCCCATCCTCCGCTCTCACTGTGCCTCAAAAGGCGGAAGGGAAGCACTGTTGTCCCAGCTTCAAAACTGCATCGCCAAAGGGAAATACACGTCTCTTCTGAATTTACCAATTTTCTGTGTGAGCTCCCCAATGCTTCCTCCTTTCATATGAATAATAAAAAAAAAGTTGGAGAGAAAAAAGGTCCTAGTCCCCTCTAGGCTGTTCTCATGCTTAGCCAACTCATCTGTCCTCATGCTAATTCAATTTTGCTTTCCTTGCTCTGTAAGAATTTTTTCCTTCATACTCACTTTTGTGTACTGGCATAAGGAATTTGGTAAAAGTTCATAGGCAGAGTTTACTGGATGAAGTTTAGAGCTCTGGTTACTTAAATCAAGCTTTGAATATATACATACTGTACATATATACATATATATAACATTATATATTTTAAACATGAAATGTAAATCTATTATTCAATATATATTTTTCATTTGGACTCACTGAGTTTTTCAAAAGTATAAACAGTTCTCATTTCTAATGAGAAAATACATCTTGAATGGGAGGATCTTCAAGCCTCTTTACTACACAACCCAGCCCTTTCCTACAAGCAGCCTGCAGTCAACACGTGCCTTTTGGCCCAGCTGGTATCCACGTCTGCTTGGCCACGTGCTCCACGGTCTTCCTTGGTCACAGTGATCCATTCTCGGGTGGGCAGAGGACTGGGGTGGGTCAATCACACATAATCCTGAGGTTTTTGCTAGAACTGCTTGGAACAGGAACTGTTTCACGCTGGGGCTGCTAAACTAGGTTCACCCAGCCTGGGGCAGCTGTGGGCCCTCTCTGCTCCTGTGTGGGAAGCCTGCAACTAAAACCACACAGCCCGGAGCAGAGCCAAGAGATGGGTATGCAGACCTTTTCTTACTTCTAACAGCTCAGTGAAAACCACGTCAGGCAGCCTCCAATTTACCAAGGGCTCCAGACAAATATGTTTGCAAACTGCTTTGTTCTGGAGAAGGGATGACATGGAGGTGAGTCTAGTGTTCCTAGGCCCACTCCAAAACACAATGTAATTCATAATCTAGCTGGTCTGTAGCACTAACAGTGCTCTAGTTAGACGCCTGGGGAAGCCTGAGGTGACCCGTTCCTTACTCCCTTGTTCCACCCAATTGAGAACAGACCCAAGGACACACACCAATCTGTCAGCAGATTCTGCTGATCCCACCTTCAAAATATTTCTGTATCCAATCAATTCCCACCACCTGCACTGCTACCCTCATCTGAGCCACCATCATGACCTTCTGGGACTAGTTCAGTAGTCTCCCAGCTGGTCGCTCTGCTTCTGCCCCTGCTCCTCTTCAGCTTCTTTGCAACACAGCAGCCAAGTAATCCTGAAGTCATCTTACAACGCTCTTCTGTAACAAACCCTACTTATCCCAGAGTAAAAGGCAATGTGTTTCAATGGCTCACAAGGTTGTACATGACCTGACTCCCCTCCACCCTGTTTCTTCCCGACACCCTCTCCTATCGCTCTTGCCCATACTCACCTGCTCTAGCCACAGTGACTTCTTGGCTGTTCCTAGAACATGCCAGGCATGCTCCTGCCTCAGGGCCTTTGCATGTGCCGTGTCCTCTGCTTGGAACTTGCCCCAGATGGAGCCCATGTGACCCCCTCCTCCTTTAGGTCTTTGCTCAAATATCATTTGTCAGGTAGGCATTCCTTAACCAGTCTCAACGTTCACCCCTAAGCCCCAGCATGCCCCTCCCTTTCCAGATTTAGTTGTCTCCATGACACACTTAACACCATCTTACGCATTATATATTTTACTTATTTGCCTTCTTTATTGCCTGTCTGCCCCACCAAAATCTAAGCTCCAGGAGAGCAAGGATTTTTGTCTACTTTGCTCACTTTTGTATCACCAGCACCTAGAAGAGGGCCTGGCACCCAATAGGGGATCAAAATTAATTGAATGAATGGAAACAAGGGAGGCAGGGATGGAAATCTGATACCCGTTTACCACTGATGAAGCTTTTTAGATAAAGGGCAGAAGCCTCCTACGTTAGACTGAGAGGCGAAAGCAACCAGGCCAACCAAGGGGGTCAGCCTGCCCCACTCAGTTCAACTGGCTGAGAGCAGCTGAGAAAACCCAGGGCTTCCAGCCAGAAGCTGCAGGCAGGCTTCCCCTGGGAAGCAGTGAGAACCAGTTCAAGGACAATGATAGTATAAGGATGGCTTACAGTCAGCCATTTTCATCTTACATGTATCAAATGCCACATAATATGCTAAATGTTTTCCTATCACCCTATTTTCAGCAAAAGGCTATAAAAAATTTAAGGAAAACAGGAGTTATGTGGATACAACAAAGTGAAGCACCATCTCAGAGAAACTGGAAATGCTATGAAACTTATTAATTCATTTCGCAGGTTTAGAAACTAAAGCTCAAAGTGGAAATGACATTTGACTCTGGCAAGTAGCAGGGCTGAGATTTGAACCTGGATCTCCCTGATTCCTAAACAAAAGCCTCTTTAGTATGAAATCCCAGAAGCTCATCATAAGGGCCTTGATCTCAGCAGTGGCTCCAGCCCACTGGCTTCTTCCCAAGACAAGGGGGTCTCCCACGTGGTGACACTAGAAACAGCTGCCTTAACTTTCTGAACAAAAAAAGAGGCCATGGGCTTCCCCTCCCTAAGGGCTGGCCCCCTCCCAGGGCAGCGAGCTTACAGGAGAACCTGGCCCTCATATCACCTCTGTAGGTGCCGTTCGGCTTACTCACCTCCAGTAAACTAGCACAGCAATGAGAAGGATGAGGCACACGAAGGTCAAGGCTGATACCACAATCAGAGGGATGATCCACTCCATCCTCCCTGGAGAAGGGCGGCTTATCATCCCAGAGGTGTTCTTTTCTGCTGCAAAGAGAAACCATGCCAGTTAGAGGACCGAGGTTAGCGGAGCCCGGGAGCCAGAGTGTGATGCAGAGTTCTGCTCCAGTTTTGGGTGCTTTCCGGAGAACTGGGCTGCCCGCTCCGGGTTGCCCTATGACAGGAGGGGCAATCTGTAGCCCGCACCATCTCCTACTGAGTCCCAACCCAAACGAGGCCTTTTCTGCAGGCTGCATTCTCTAATCACCAGTGGGATCGATTTGCAGGTAGAGTTCAAGATGTTTTCAAAGAGAGTTGTGAAGAAGACAGACATCCAGCCTGACTCCAAGAATATTATTGACCCAGAGCGGCCTTTGGACACACTGAAGAAATGTGCTCAAGTCTGCAGGCAGAACCAAACTTACCTCTGCAAAGGGGCACGGGAGCCTCTCAGGTTCGCTAGTGCCAGGATGGGAGCATGGCCTGATGGATTTTACTAAGATAACTGGCTGTGACTACAATGGTAGCATCATTACTCCTTCCTCTAGTAACTGCACCCCAACTCTGCTTTGTGAAACCACCTCTCCCTAACAGTGTCCAAATGTGGGGCTCCCCAGTCTCCCAACCAAGGGTAAGGGGGGGACTCAAGCTAGGGCAATGGTGCTCCGGCCCGGGAATCCCCACCAGCCGCATCCCGCTGACTGAACATCACCGCATCCCAGCAGGAGCACCCAGATGCTTCTGCCCATCAGTTCCCACCACCCAGATCCCCAGAAATCCTCTTTTTCCTCAAATTTGGTTCTATAGCTTTTCCTTTGATCCCATTACCTCCCCACCTGCCCATCCTTCTAAAAGCTCTAAGACGACCAAAGCCAGGCAGCCATGCCGCAGTCTGCTCCAGCACACGTCTGCCTCTAAATAGCAGCCAGTCCAGAGGTTAACTGGGAAAGTTTGTGAAACGATTCAGGCTTCTCTCTGGTCAACCAATACCTCTTACCCGAGCAGCTCCTTCCTCTGTCTGTCTCAGGCCCCGAGTATCTTCACAAGTTCCCTATTCCCTCTTGTCCCGTGGGGTGGGGTGGATGCCTGGAAATCTCCAGGTGGCCCAAATGAAGCTCAGGTGCGGTGTGGGGCTCGAAGAGCACAGGTGCACAGAGGCAATCAGGGAGGCAGGCAGCGAGGAAGCAAAGGTGAACTGTGACCGCAGGGCAAAGTCCCTTGAAAAGTCCACAGCTGGTACAGGCTGACTTGCGCTCAGCAAGGATTCCTCCTGCTCTGCAAAAATGAGGCCAGCCTTCAAGCAGCCCGAGTGTCCCTCTGCAGGATGGACTAAATGCAGGGCTAATCAGGCTGGGTTTCCAAGGGAGAGAAGGTGGGCTGAGCAGGAAAGAACTAATTGGCCTTGGGAGCAGATCTTTAAAGAGGCAAGGCTGCTGTGTAATGAAGTGTGTTACCGTGCTTTCCACCGGGCTTTCTTGCACGCAGTTTACCCTGATCTGCTCCTTTGATCCGTGCACAGGCCTGTGAAACAGCTGGGGCTGGGTTTACGCCCAGCTCACAGGGAAGAAGGCAGAGGCAATCAGGTGAAGCACATTCTGATTGAAAACCACCACAGAGCACCCCATGGTTTATCAAGTGCCTTCCTGACGGTGCCAGCCCATTTCTTCCCATCCCTTGCTCCACAACTTTTCATTAGAGAGCTATTTGCCCAGGCCCTACTGTGTGCCAGGCATGGTGCCAGGGGATGGGGAAGCAGCAGAACATAGACAGACACAACCCTATGCCTGTGGGGTAGGAATCACTGAAAGGGGGAGGGGCAGACACATGAACAAGTAATTAGAACAAAATGAATGCGAGGCCAGGGGAGGCACAGGGGCACAGCTGTCCCAGCGCAGGACTTCGAGGGAGATGTTAGGGTGAGACCTGAAGGATGAAGGGGAGTTAGCCAGGCCAAGTGCAGGGGAAGAAGCTTGTTCCGGACACAGAGCTCTAAAGCGGTGGGGGTATGAAATGGGGGAAGGGCACCAAGCTGGAGAGTCAGAGGCCACATCAGCCAGGGCTTTGTAGGCTGAATTATGGGAACTGGTTTTAGTCTCAAGGGTAGTAGAAACTGCTGGAAGGTTGTCAGCCGAGGCAGACCAGGATCAGATGTGTAATCTCTCCCTCGACGTAATGCTTTCATGGCAAAGCTCTGGTGACTGGCCAGAGGAACCAGTTGCAAATGAGAATAATTTTGCAGGGCTCCAGCAGGGGGCAGGCCAGCCAGGCAATTATCTGGCTGATGGTATCTGGCTGATGGTGGGAGTATCTCCAAGACCAGAAGGTCCTGTTAATGGAAATACGGCAGGAGGGTTGACATTACAGGCCACGTGTCCAGTGACTCAGTATCCACCCTGGGAGGCGCCTGCGTACTGGAGGAACTCCCAATGTCTTCTTTCTCTCCCCGCGGCCTTACACAAAAGGATTCCTGCCTGGGCTACTCCTTGGTAGGCAGGTGGGGGAGGGGGCAGAATGCAAACTCCAGGTCCTACTCACCCTACACCACTGAAAAGGACCCTCGGCCAAAATAGTCCCTCACACAGATGTCTCTAAACAGTCATTGGAAATACCAGCTCTGTGGTATTTCTGCCATCTTAAAACCAGTGAACAGGGGCCACTCCAGAATCTCTGGGCTATGAGTGATGGTCTAGTTGTGAGGGTCAATGGCACATTATCTTGTCCCTGAAATCCTATGTGTGGGCGATTATGTCTGTCCCCCACCCCTGCCCCCGCCAAGGTAAGGGTTCAAAGTTTTCATCAGATTCTCAGCTCCAGGCCCCAGAAAAGACTGTGACCCCCCAATATGCACTCCTCACAGTCAGAGGGGCGAATGAAGGTCTGCAGAGGGTGCGGGTCTCAAAGTGACAGCTAGCCTGGGCCGGGCTAGGCTGTTTCACGACTGAGCCATTTCTCTTTCTAACATTTCATGGTGCTTGCTGAGAATTTGGCGGGGGGCGAGATGGGGGAGTGAAGACCATCTGAAATCCCCCTGTGGACAGTCCCCAAATGGCAGTCTCTGTGGAGGAGGTCCCAGGTTGGCAACAGCTTACACTGTGAGCGAGAGACCTAAGGAAATTATTCTGACAGCAGTTTGATCTCGACCTTGACCAACGGCAGGCAGTAGGATTTGCCCGGGCCTTTTACATAAAAACCAGGAAAAAATATGAGTGCTACTGGATTTCCATGTGAGGCATAAAAGTCGATTTCATTTTCAAATTCACAGTATTGCTTTGTCTTCATGGTACCAGGAGCCTGGAATTTAACCCCATCTCCACGTGACCACATGAACTCTGCGCCTGCCACTGTCCTGAGGTTCCTCACTGTCCTCAGGAACAGCAAGGCCCTCCATGAGTGAGGCCTTCCCCCCACTCCATTATCTCCTGCCGCCCCCCACATTGTGTTTCAGCTGCACCCGCCCAACCAGTGAGCCTGCTGGGCCACAGTCCAACCTCTCTGCCTTTGTCCCTGCTGATCCCACCTCCAGGCATGCCTTTCCCATCCTGCTCCCAGAAGATCTTACTGATCCCCTCCGTCCTGGTGCAGGTGCTCCCTTCTCTGTGAGGCCTCCCCAAGCCCTCAGCCTGTGCTGTCTCTGGAGGGCACAGATCACAGAGATCACAGGTTCAAATCCTAGCTCTGCTACTTTCCATGTAAACTTTAACCAGTAATTTAAATCAGTTTGGGCCTGGAGTTCTTCATCTACAAAATGGGAAAAAAGAACCTACTTCATAGGAGCAGAGGGAAAATTCAATGAGAAGATGCATGTAGAATGCCAAGAAGTGTGCCTGGCGTTGAGAAAGTGCTGAGTAAATACGATCATCACCATCATCATCATTGTCATCTTGCATTCCTCTTACTGCACACCTTACACTCAAAGATAACTGCTCTTTTATTACTCTAAGGTCCCCAAAGGACAGATTTCCATCAGTCCATGGAAGAACAGTAATAAAGCTCTGCCTCCTACTAGCTGTGCAACTCTGGGCAAGCTACTTAACCTCTCTGTGCCTCAGTTTCCTCATGTGTACACGGAGATAACAATATTGCCTACTGCATTGTGGGGGTGTGAGGAATAAAACACTTAGAATGTTGCCTGGCACCCATAAGCACCTGGTTAATGTTCTCAATTGTGATTATCATAATCGCCATCCCCATCACCATCATCCCCAACATCATCACCATCATCACCACCCACAGCATTAGGGCGTTATCATCATCACCGCCACCACCACCCTCGCACAGCACCAGGGGGATGGTGAGTGCTCACTGGGTGGATGCTGAGAAAAGACCACACCACACTTCTCACCGTCCTTCAGAAGAAACGCTTGTCCTGCTGTGTGACTCAATCTGTGGCCCAGCAGGCCCTCACAGGAGGAAGCGCAACAAAACAGCAAACTCCTAGGAACACATAACATGCCGCCAGGGCTGAGTATATACTCCCCTCCTCCTGTGCCTTCAGTCCCCTGACCACCTTTCAGGCTCTGGAACACACTATAAACTTTTCAGTGCAGGTACGGCAGTGGGCCACAAGGGTACGATCCTGCAATTCCAAGTTAGGCACACCAGATTACAAATTCTCGCTCAGGCCTTTCTAGCTGTGTGACTTTGGGTAAATGCCTGCCTGTCTCTGAGCCTCTGGTCCCTCTTCTACCAAAGGGAAACAGATGACAATGCTGACAATGCTCACCTCTCGGTGGCGTTATGCGGATTAAATGAGATAATCTATGTGAAGGAGATTGCGTAATTATGGCTACATAATTTATGGGGCTGGATGCAAAATGAAATCATGGGGCTCCTTGTTCAAAAACGATTAACGAGTTTCAAGATGGCGACAGCAGAGCATGAAGGCAGCACAGGGCCTCCTAAGGATAGCACTCTGTGTGACCACACAGCTCGCACGCTCGCGAAGCCAGCCCTGGCCAGTGAAGCATTCAGCATGGGGCCTGACACAGGGGCAGCATCCAGGGAGTGTTCATTCTTCTCTTCCTGTCAATGGAGCCAAGCAACAGTGC